GTCAGGCTAAAATCTTGACTTGGCATATGAGCTGGATAAGGAAGCGGCATAAGAAAGATGTGCTCCAGGCTGAGCTTTTTGAAATCTCTAAGAATTAGCTAGTTCTGGAAGAGACGGTCTCTCCCTAGCCAGCAAGCTTTTTAAGATGTCAAAACATTAGGGATGCCTGGATGGCTCGGTCAGTTAAGTGTCTGCCTTCGGCTCAGGTCATGATCCCAGGGTCCTGGGATCGAGTCCCGCATTGGGCTCCTTGCTCAGTGGGGAGCCTGCTTCTCCCTCTGCCCCTCACCCCCCCCACCCCCTTGTGCTTGCTCTCTCTCTCTCTCTCTGGCAAATAAATAAAATTTTTTAAAAAGATGTCAAAACATCACAAAATACAGAAAACAAGAAACATGATGAATACAGGCCGGAAAGAGGGCATGACGATGGGGACTGCTGGCCCTGCAGGACCCAGGACACCATGACTCACACCCCATTCCGAAGGGCAAGAAAGGATCCTGGGATGGAGGAGGGGATTGGTGCGTCAGCTCGGCGACTTTCACAGGGACCTGCTGGCTACCCCCACAACGCACTTTTCCCGCCCCCAGCCCCCAGGTGTCCACCCAGCTTCACCCAGGTCATCGCCACACCCAAGGTCTGGATTTGGAGGTGTGCATGATGTTAAATCTAGCACAGGGCAGGATGTGGCAGAAGTGACAGCCACTCACAAGGACGGAGGGAGAAAATTTCCCTCACGGCTTCAGATCACGTGGTCCTGAATGGTGTGCAGACGGACTTTGTAGTTTGTTGGGTGACATTTCTTGAGGCCGCACTATTGAGGCTAGTGACATGGATGAGAGTTTCTGCCCCTCCTTCCCCTGGGATTGTCCCTTTCAGCCCATTCCCACAGCCCTGTGACAGAGGAAGGGGCAGCTGGGCAGGGCTGTAGAGACTGACTCCAAGAGCTGGGCCCACCATCCAGGTGGGCCTGTTGGGCGACCCCCCCCCCCCAGGAAGTGTGGTGGGAAGGGAGGAGAACAAAGGAAGGGAAGGGGAGGGAAGGCTGAGCAAGCACCTCCCGGTGCTCCCTCCCGGTGCCATCTGTGTCCCTTTTCCTGCAGCCCTCAGCATCTCCCCACAAACCCTCTCCTCCTAAGACTCAGCTCCCTGGACACTCAGCACAAGCTGCCTCGCCCTGCAGCTTGCCCAGCTCTGCCACCTGCCTCACCTCATATCCCGCCCACCTGCCCTCACCATGCTGGACTCCTGCCCATAGGTGGGGATGGTGGCTCCATGGGAATGACATGCCACCATTCCATCCCAACGGACGGGTGGCATGGGAGGTCAGTGGGGGAAAAGGAAGGGAAAGACACACAGTGAGCACACACTCAGTAATCCAAGCAGGGGTGTGTGGAAGTGCCTGGAGGCATTTTGGTTGTTACAATGACTGGGGGTGCCCACTGGCATTGAGTGCTGGGGGTCGGTGCCAAGGACAGGCGAGCTCAGTGAAGAACCGCCCCACCCAAAGTGTCAGAAACCTCCCCCCAACCCCCCAACCCCCATCTACCAAAAAAAACCAGAAAGAAGCAAGGGAGGGTGGGAAGAAGGGAAGGCAGGCAGGAAATAAGAAGCAGGAAGAGGAAAAGGAAGGAAGGAAGGACAAACATGTGTGGCCCTAGCCTGTCACCTGCACAGGAGGCTAGCTGCTAGTCTGATCACAAGTAGTGTCCCTCCTGCACTAGAGGATGCAGACTCCCCCCAGGAGACCTAAACAATTCTGTCACCCAAACTCTTCTGGATGAGAAAGCAGAGGATTTCCTCCCAGGCACATGGCTGGGGGGTGAAAAGGTTCCTCCTGGGCTCCCTGAACAGGATGCCACATCAACTCCTGGGATCACCCGCCCAGGCCCCAGGGTGACTCTTGGGCCCTGGGTAGCAGAGGCACAGCCGAACGAGATGTTACCCAGCAGGGCAAGAGTGAACGTCACCGGCAGGCACCATTAACTGAGAGTGACTGACAAAGCCTTGGAAGGAAAAAAAACCAAAAGCCGGTCTGGTCTGGGCTGCAGTGAGAATCTTAGTCCTGAGACTCTGTCCCCAGTTAAGAGCTGATGTCTATGGTCTGGGTGGCCTGCTATCCTGTGAACATCCAGGAGCTCCTCCAGCACCTGCCAAGACAACCCCAGGCCTCGTGTTTTCCTCAGAGAACCATTTCAGGCTGTACCCATCATGTAAACTGTATCTGTTTCCTAGGGCTGCTGTTACACAATGGCCACAAACCGGATGGCTGCGAACAACAGAAATCTATTCTCTCACAGTTCTAAAGACTAGAAATCCAAAGGTGAGATGTTTCAGGACCGTTGTCTCTCTGAAGGCTCTGGAGAGAGTCCCTTTTTACCTCTTCCTAGCTTTTGGTGGTTGCCAACAATCCTTGGTCTTCCTTAGCTTGCAACTACATCACTCCAGCCTCTACCTCCGTCATCCAGTGGTGTTCTGTGTGTGTGTGTGTGTGTGTGTGTATCCAAATTTCTCTCTTTCTATAAAGACAGGAGTTACTGGATTAGGGCCCATCTGACTCCAGCACGACCTCATCTTAAGTTGATTACACCTGCAAAGGTTCTGTTTCCATCACATGTACCGGGGTAAAGACTTAAATTTATCTTTGGGGGAGACACAACTCAACCCAGTACAGTGATCAATCTCCAAATCTCTACTCCTGTTACTCAGAGTGTGATCTATGGAGCATATGCATTGTCCCCGGGGGTTTTGTTACAAAGCAGATTCTGATTCGTAGGTCTGGGGTGGGGCCCCAGATTCTGTGTTTCTACCATACATACTTACCGTCTACCATTCTCAAATATACACCTGGGTATCAGCCAAATTCAGCCCTCGCCGATGCCAGAACACCTGCCACCACGATCTCCCAGACCAGCTCTGTTTGGACTACTCCGATAGCCTCCTGTCCCTGCTTTCTCTGTGTTAAAAAAAAAAAAAAAAACAAAATACAGGGGTGCCTGGCTGGTTCAGTCGGTAAAGCATGCAACTCTTGATCTTGGGGCTGTAAGTTCAAGCCCCACATTGGGTGTAGGTTACTTAAAAATAAAATATTTTTTTTTAAGATTTTATTTATTTGAGAGAGACAGTGAGAGAGAGCATGAGACCGGGGTGAGGGGCAGAGGGAGAAGCAGACTCCCTGCTGAGCAGGGAGCCCGATGTGGGGCTCGATCCCAGGACCCTGGGATCATGACCTGAGCCGAAGGCAGACACTTAACCGACTGAGCCACCCAGGCGCCCCTAAAAATAAAATCTTTGAAAACAAGCAAACAAAATACAACCAAGTAAATTTGAAGATCTAATGGGCTTTATTAAATGATGCATGAATGTGATGAATATGGCACTGACTGAGCCACCCAGGCGCCCCCACAGTATTCTTTTTGAAACATCTGCAATCACCCTCCACCCTTACTAGAGTAGTATTATTACCAACAATGGCAGTTCACTCCTTGGTGAGCTGTAGACAGAAAATGTACCAGGTGGTTGCCTCACAAGGTCACTTTATTTGTACAAACAAGGAAGTTGCAGGGAATGACTTCCAAAGCCTTGACTCCCTGAACAAGGAGAAGCAGGCCCCTTTTATTAGGCCTTGGCATGAATATTCAGAGGGGGATTTTACCATTATAATGAGGCTGAGGCACTTTCTGAATCATCTGAGCAGGCATCATCCTCAAATGTTTCTTCTTCTGTTCCAGCAGTCAGTTCCTTTCTGAAAAGTAAGACCGGGGGCGCCTGGGTGGCTCAGTCGTTAGGAGTCTGCCTTCGGCTCAGGTCATGATCCTAGGGTCCTGGGATCAAGCCCCACATCGGGCTCCCTGCTCAGAGGGAAGCCTGCTACTTCCTCTCCCACTCCCCTTGCTTGTGTTCCTGCTCTCGTTATCTCTCTCTCTCTCTGTCAAATAAACAAATAAAATCTTAAAAAAAAAAAAGATGAAAAGTAAGACCGACACCCAGAAGCTTCTAGCAGTTTCTTGAGTTCAGGAGGTCAGACCTAAGTTCAGAGGGTTAGGTCAGTGACAGTATTTTAAAGGCATAAACAGCCACAGCTTTGCTTAAAACCCTCACAACATGGGCGCCTGGGTGGCTCAGTGGGTTAAGCCTCTGCCTTCAGCTCAGGTCATGATCCCAGGGTCCTGGGATTGAGCCCTGTGTCCAGCTCCCCGCTCAGCAGGGAGTCTGCTTTTCCCTCTCCCTCTGCTCTTCCCACTGCTTGTGCTCTCTCTCCCAAATAAATAAAATCTTAAAGAAAACAAACAGAAAAACCCTCATATTGCCTTGAGTTTACAATAAAACCCAAGTTTCAAACCTTGACAGGCAGAGCCCTGGAGCTCCAGCCAGGCCCTCTCCCCTCACCCCTCACCCCTCACTGGCTGAGCTCCAACCACACTGGTTGGTTCTTTCTTTCCAGCTCTAAGGACAGTGCACATGGGGTCTCCCTACCTACATGGGGAGCTTCCAGGTTTTCACACATGGCTCCTTACAGCCTTCAGGCCTCTACTCAAATACCACCCACTCTGGGGGGCCCTCCTTGGTTACCTAGGATGCCTCTACCCCACGGGGCTCTTATGTCTCTCACTGCACCAAGCGCACCACAAACTATTTTCCACCTCCCCAATCTCTAAGTTCCCTAAGGGCAGCAACACGAAAACACAGTAAGGGCTCAAAAAATGAGTGTGTGAAAGAAAGAAAATTTAAAAAAATTAAAGAATGATTGGCAAGACCTCAAGGGCACGGATGTTTGGGGCTTTATTTTTAAAACTCTCCTTGAAATTGGCGGGCCGCAAGATAGGCATGAGCAAGTTAACCTTTCACGGGTTTAGACAGTCGGCAGGAACAAGCCAAGCGGCGCCCAGCCACCAGAGGGCGCCCGAGCTCGCTCCGGCCCCTCCCGGACTCCGCCCCGCCCCCGGCGCCCTATGCCCCGTCCTCGCGCCTCACCGCGCATGTCTCCCGCCTCCACTTCCGCTTTGGGTGAGCTGAGAGCGGGCCGTTTCCGGCGGCGCCGCGTGGAGCTTTTCCGCTTGGAAGCCGTCGCCATGGCGGTCTTCGCTGGTCCGGCTAAGCCGTTCCTGTCGCTGAACCCGCAGGAAGAGGCCAAATTTCAGAAGGAGGTGGCGCAGGCCCGCCGGCGCGCAACCCAGGTGAGCAGCCACCGCGGGTCCGACTGAGAAAGGAGGGGGCAGACGGGTCCGCGTGCGGTTCCCTGTCCTGGCGCGTCTCGCCCTCCTCACACCTGTGCCATTTCCAGCGTCTCCCCGGGTGGGCCGCAGACCTCACGAGCTTGAAGGCCAGGGTCTTTCTGAGACCGAGAAGGTTATGCTGATTGGGAGATGGGGTCTGGCCGTGTAGGCCTTAGGGTCCTCCTGCGGAAATACGGGGGAGGTAACCGGGTGATGCAAGAGGAGGGCCCGCTGTTGGGAATGGACTCTTACACCGCAAATCATCCTCAGGTTAGAGCTGCCACTCCTCCGCTCTGCCCCCGAATTTGGGAGGTTTGTTCGCCTGGTTGGTGATTTTGGAGCTCTTAAAAGACAAGGTTTGCCGAGTTCCATCTACTGACTAGGGCCTCTGTCATCAATTTATGTTTGCCTTGTTTCTTAGCATAAAATACACGTTTGGAAAAGTTAAAAGTGCTTGTTATGGAAGGTAAGGGTATGATGACTGGGGTGCTGAAAGGTTGGTTGGTGGGCATAGTGAAGGGCAGTGTCTCGAAATTGTTCGGTTCGGTGCGTGTGAGTCAACGGTGATCTGCAAGCAAAGTTGAAGGGTACGTTTATGTGGAGTTGGGCCAGAAGACTTAAATCGATGTTTTCAAAGATTTACTTGCTTATCCACTGAATGAGCGTGTAGTTACTGAGCATTTACAGGGTGCCGGGTGCTGCAATACAGGCTAAGACAATCCACCACTTGACCGTTGTCGTCCTGGGAGGTCAGAGGTTAAACACCGAATTTTTCAGTTACTATTTTTTTTTTTTAAGATTTTATTTATTTATTTGACAGAGACAGAGACAGCGAGAGCAGGAACACAAGCAGGGAGAGTGGGAGAGGGAGAAGCAGGCTTCCTGCGGAGCAGGGAGCCCGATGTGGGACTCGATCCCAGGACCCTGGGACCACGACCTGAGCCGAAGGCATACGCTTAACGACCGAGCCACCCAGGCGTCCCTAAATACTTATTTATTTAAAAAAATTTTTTTTTAAGATTTTATTTATTTATTTGACAGAGAGAGACATAGCGAGAGCAGGAACACAAGCAGGGGGAGTGGGAGAGGGAGAAGCAGGCTTCCCGCGGAGCAGGGAGCCCGATGTGGGACTCGATCCCAGGACCCTGGGACCACGACCTGAGCCGAAGGCATACGCTTAACGACCGAGCCATCCAGGCGTCCCTAAATACTTATTTATTTAAAAAAAATTTTTTTAAAGATTTTATTTATTTATTTGACAGAGAGAGACATAGCGAGAGCAGGAACACAAGCAGGGGGAGTGGGAGAGGGAGAAGCAGGCTTCCCACGGAGCAGGGAGCCCGATGCGGGACTCGATCCCAGGACCCTGGGATCACGACCTGAGCCGAAGGCATACGCTTAACGACCGAGCCACCCAGGCGTCCCTAAATACTTATTTATTTAAAAAAAATTTTTTTTAAAGATTTTATTTATTTATTTGACAGAGAGAGACATAGCGAGAGCAGGAACACAAGCAGGGGGAGTGGGAGAGGGAGAAGCAGGCTTCCCGCGGAGCAGGGAGCCCGATGTGGGACTCGATCCCAGGACCCTGGGATCATGACCTGAGCTGAAGGCAGACGCTTAACGACTGAGCCACCCAGGTGCCCTTTCAGTTACTATTCTGTAAATGGAAATACAGGGCAGGTTTTTGATCTTTTGTCTTGGACTGAGAGATAAGGGTTTTGCAGGTTTTGTTGCAGTGTGATTTTTTCTTTTTCTTTAATTAAAATTTGCATTTACCTGGTCTGTATGTCTTCAGCGACAGGAGAAAGAAAAACTGACTCCTGGAGTAATCTATGTGGGCCACTTACCTCCAGCACTTTATGAAACCCAGATCCGGGCATATTTCTCCCAGTTTGGCACTGTTACAAGATTCAGACTGTCCAGAAGTAAAAGGGTAAGATTAGATTGCTTTGTTCCTTACAAGTATGTAAGTTTTGATAGTTTACAGAGTGTGTTTATATATTATTGTTTGTCACAGTTCATTTTAGAAAGGGGGGTGGATAAGATTTAGAAACTGAAACTGTGAAGAGAGCAAAGTCAGTGTTACTGTAAATGTTTGTTTTACTATTAAAATTGCCCCAAATCCTCACGTTAAATTGATAATCCTGATAAGTGATTTCATACTTACTCTGTGGCTACGAAGCCAGGTAGGTATACATGAACTTCTGTTTGAGGAGCAAGTATGAACATCTTTTATCAGCCTCTGGCACAGGCATCCCTATAATAGCAAAGGTTTGTGTAGTGAGTAGTTAAGAATAAGGGCATTAAAGCCAGACCACCTAGGTTTGAGCCCTAGCTGTATGGGTCCCTAGTTGTGTGACCTTGGACAATTTATATAATTTCCCTATGTTTCGGTTTTCTAGTCTGTAAAATAGGAATAAAATACCATCCACCTCCTAGGAGAATACAATCAAAGATTAAACAAGGTAACAAATGTAGAGTTCTTAGAACAAACCTGATACAGTAAGCCCTTTATAAATGTTGTTATATTGTACCTATCTCCTAATAAAGAAAAAGTTTGTATGGTTTGTTTCTGAAATAGAGGAGTGGCCACTTTATTTTCTTCCCTGCACATATCCACTTTTGGTTGTAACCGTAGACCTCTCACTGTTAGAATCTGTTTTTTCTTGATACAATTTTTCCACATTTTATCAAAGTTAAATTTTATATTTGATTTGGTATGTGAGGGGATAGGGTATGCATCCATCATATGCTAGTTGCCATAAAATCACAGATATTAAGTTATGTTGTCAAAGCAACATGTTAGCATTAAAGGGAATTCTAAATTAAAAATGCCCTAGTATCTCTTCCATCCTAACCAAAATAACATTTTGTCTGTATTCCACCCCTTGTTTTTCCATTTGCCTATTTATAATGGTTGCTAATTATGTGGGTGAGATATTATTAAACATCCTAAAGTCTGCTAGAGTATTTAGTGGCTATGGTAATCCGCCATTCACTTTTATCAAATATCAACTTGATCTCATTATTTGTTTCAGATCTTTGTTCTTTAAGAAATAAATTATAGGTAGATTTGAGGTCCCTTTTGTACCCTTCTCAATCGTCTTCCTTTTCTCCCCATGTCCAGGAAATTACTATTCATGAATCCAGTGCTTTTCATTACTCTGTGTTTTTAAATTTTTACTACGTGTTCATGTATGAATGAATATACATTGTATATTTAAGTCTATATTTTGTCATTCTTTAACTCAATTTTTTCATTAACAATCTGTTTAGAACTTTATCTGTGAAACTCTAGTGCATTCATTGTCATCACTGTGTTCCTTTGCTTGAATATATTAAGTTTTCCAACTTACTGAGTATTAGGGTTTTGGTTTTGTGTTTTTGTTTTTACAATTTTTCTGTGTTACAGGTGCAACCGCTAGGAACATTCTTTGCATGAGTGTAGGCATATTTTTCTAAAATAGTATTTTTCAGACTTTGGACCCACTATAAGAAATAAGTTTTACAGCACAAGCCTGTGCGCACGCGCACACACACGTACATAAACATAATAGAAATAAGTCATGTGAGGCAATACTTACCTTTCCTATTCAGTTTTTTTTTTTTTAATGCTTTTCTGACCCCCTAAGTTGATTGTGTTGCCTTCTTAAAGGTCACATTCTGAGTTTGAAAACTAACTGCTTTACAGAATATCATCAGAGTCACTGAGTATAGAATGCTCATGGTTTTTGTATCTGCCTTACTCTGTGACATTTAGTATCCTTATGTGTGTGTTGGCCATTAGAACTCCATCTTCTATGAATTCTTCTATGAATTGCCTGTTCATATGTTTTGCCCTTATTGTTTTCTTTTCTGAAAACTTTTTTCTGCATTTTCTGGGGTATTACTTTGTAAATGTTTTCCCAGCTTGCAATATAGTCGTTGTTTTCCTCAGTTTTATATTTTGAAAATGTTCAAGCCTACAGGCAGGTAGAAATAATAGTGTGATGAACATCCCTGCCCCTCACCTGGATTTACTTGTTATTAACATCCTGACACATTAGCTTCATCTCTCTACTTATCCTCTAGAACATACACTTTTTTGTTTTGAAGAGTTCAGATCAGTTGTCTTACAGAAAGCTTGCTCCTTCAGGAGATGCACTAAAATTTAGCATTTCCAGCATTGTTGTTGCATAATAAAGGCGCCATTTTCCCCCCACTCACCCCAATTTTGACTGTTTGCTCAGTATTTCCATCCAACATTCTGGGATTACTAGGTAAAATAGGTAAAAGTGTTTGGCTTCTTTTTTTTTTCTTTTTCCTTTTTTTTTTAATCTCCACACCCAACGTGGGGCTCAGACTCAAAATTCCTGAGATCAAGAGTCACATGCTCTATCAACTGAGCCAGGAGGCGGTCCTGGCTTTTTTAGATTTGGTTTTTTGTTTCTTTGTTTTAGTCACTTGACGCGTATTTTCAAATCCCTTTTCAGAAGGCTTATATGAGTTGATAATGTGGTACAGTAAGTTGAATATCGCAACGTGTCTCTTCCACTACACCGTCTTTCCCCTCCCTATTAAGAGATAGGATTATAAAGAATTTTTGGACATACAGATTTTTACCAGAATCCTCTTGTGGCAGATAACTAAACAATGGGCATGTCCAAGGTGCTAGTTAGTGGCATTGCTGGTGCTAGAAATGAGCCTCCTGGTCATGGAGTGGTTTCCTATTTCCATAATTGTATCACCAATTTTGATCCATATCCAAAGATATGCTTAATGCAAAATTGTGAAATATTCCTGTTGTTACTAATAATTAGAACTGTAAGGGCAGAAAGATTTGTTTTTTTCTACCCTCCTAGGTTCTCGTAAATTTATGTCCTGCTTTTAGGCAAATGGAGGGGGGTGAAGGGCTTTTTTGTTATCTACTACTTCCCGGTTGCTTTCAGCTCAAAATAATCCTTATGCCAACGTAGCATATTTGGGGATGGCATATTCTGCCACCCTACAGGAACATTTGCATCCTTGACAGACTTTGTGTGGAGCACTTGTGAATTATTTCTTCATAGCAACCCTGTGAGAGTGGTTATTTTGTCCCCATTTAATAGAATGAAAAACTGAGGTTTAATGTTACTTACCTGTCACAGCTGGGATCCAAACGTGGGCATTTGGACGCTAAAACCCATGCTCTTGTTACTAAGACAGGTGAGAAAATTCACTTTATATTGTGGTGCTGAGGGCAGGAACCTGGGACGTGCATTTCATAAGATGTTGGCAGCGTCCCTTTACCATCAGTTAGGAAGATGATCAGTCATTAGTAAACATGAAAATGAACACACTATTTTATTGATTAGCTTGGCAATACTGAGGAGTTAGTTTCTTCCCAGTTCTTATGTATAAAGTGAGAGTTAGATTATCTGCATTCTTTGCAAAACATCACACTATCCACTGGGCATTGTTAATACATGAATAAAGTGACTATCAATGAAATTGGTAATGAGTAAAGGACTGTGGGCCTTAACCAGATTTCCTAAATGTGGTAAATTCCAGCTGCAGTAGCCATGTATTTGTCATATAATAAAAATCCTAGGAATACCTCAAAATCAGGGGCATGTTCCGACTATTTTGGATCTTTTCTTTCTAATATATTTCTTTTTTTTTTTTTTTTAAGATTTTATTTATTTATTGGAGAGAGAGAGACAGAGCACGAGATGGGGGAGGGTCAGAGGGAGAAGCAGGTTCCCCGCCGAGCAGGGAGCCCGATGCGGGACTCAATCCCGGGACTCCAGGATCATGACCTGAGCCGAAGGCAGTCGCTTAACCAACTGAGCCACCCAGGCGCCCCTCTAATATATTTCATATTCACGTAATCTCTGCACCCAGTGTGGAGCTCAAACTCACAATCCCGAGATCAAGAGTTGCACGCTCTATTGACTGAGCCAGCCAGGCACCCCGGATCTTATCTCTTCCCATAACAATCCCTGCCTTGTGCATTGAAGTTCGAGTTAAAGGTGTTGTAATGTTATTCGGTAATGGGCCTAATTTACATTATTTAAATTAATGGCATTTTAGGACTTTCATGACCAGTTAGAATTTAATCATTCTACTTTTTGTTGTTGGGTTTTCCATTGCAGACTGGAAATAGTAAAGGCTATGCCTTTGTGGAGTTTGCATCTGAAGATGTTGCCAAGATAGTTGCTGATACAATGAACAACTACCTTTTTGGTGAAAGACTCTTAAAGTGTAAGTGCTTTTCTCTTACCGGTGGGATTGCGTGGTGCATGCCTGCTGCTGGTGGTTGACTGTGCCGTGAAATACAAATTGCTTAGCTATTTGGATGTCCCACTTCATCTCTGGGATGATTCTCTTAAGTATTTAAGTGCAAGGATATGAGTGCATTTTCTAGACAGATTCCGGCTGGAATTTTAAAATCTTCCAGAGTGAGAGCTGTTTTTATGCTAAGCATTGAGACAAGTTACTACATTGGAAGAGCAGCTGACCCATCCCTAATGGGATACAGAAGGCTTCCCAGAGGAAGTATCATTTAAGTTGAAACCTGAAGGTTAGGTAGGAGTGAGCCAGGGGAAAGGAATTACCATCCCTGGCTTGATGGGACAGCAAGTGCAAACTGAGGTGACTAACAGTACTTACGTGCCTGTGAAGGAATGTCAGGAGAATAGCAAGAGATGAGAGGAGGTCAGGTTACTGAAGGCCTTAAAAATCTGGGAGTTTAGAATATATCCTGAGGGCAGTGGGAAGCCACAAATAGGATAACATTAAAGGCAAGAAATCCCGTTTGAGAGTCCGTCTAAATGACATTGGCTGCAGCTCTTTCACAGGAGAAACCATAAGGAGTAGAGGGGAGACAACACCAGATCAGTTCATCCTGCAGAAAGTGGAGCTGCCCACTTTGCGTTCCCAGAGCATCCCTGTCTGGAGCTCTGTGCCTCCGGAGGCAGAGTTAACTTTGGCTTTTCTGTGCTGAGGGGGACTGTGACCATACCAAGTACCCAAGCCACACACATCTGTTCACGTAGCTGATGAGCTGCCCAAGTAGCGTCGCTCGCTCTCTCGGTTCCTGTTGGCTGTAAGAGAGAATCCCAGTGGCCTCATGAGGTCATGGGTTCATTTCACACATAAAAAGCATGGCTCTTTCCAAGAGGAGATGGGCCAAATATAAAATATGTTAGGGGACCACATGGGTAGGATCAGTGCTGTGCTGTGCCTGACTTTGAAAGATCACAGAAAAAGTTCTGAACTCTGATATGAGTTCAGATGGAAGATTAGCCACATTGTCTTTATTTTTTTGAATGGAAGTAGTGTATATGGGAGGTGAGCCCAGGAAAATACTGGTAGGGAGTAGAGAAGTGAGAGAAGGAAGTCATTGAGGGTGTGTTAGCAAGCACATTACTTCTCAGGCAGCTGGGTTCCATTCTGCCGGGTAACACGGGAAGACAGAATTATTCGACTGACAGGCAAGGGAACTAGGGTATTTATCTATCTATCAACTCCCTATCCTTCATTGGTTGAGGGTTGATGCCAAGGGTTTTGGCCTGCCTTGCATATGGTCCCAGTGTTCTTCCAAACCCAAAAAGGGCCCTTAAGCAGAGAGCTGGAGATAAGCAGTAAGCTGGCTGAGACCTGGAGAGAGATGCAGAGGAGATGAGGTGGAAAGTGATTCCTTGTGCTACAGCAGGTCACACAGCCTGAGATCCTGGTAGCTTCAGGAACCCCAAAGACTTGACGCCACCAAGACATTCCTTTATACGACTCATCTTGTTCACTTACATATTTCTAGCTCCTGGAACAGTTCTTAGCATTTAATCAAGAGCTATTTAATAATTGTTGGCTGTATGCCTTTCATTTAGGTTCCTACTTTATTGTTTTGTTTTCTCCATGTAAATGGGAGAGGTCATCTTGATTATGATGTGGGAATGACACTGGTGGAAACCTTGAAATCTCCCTCCCACTTGGTAGAAAACTTCTTTCTTTTAAATATAGGTCATTTTATACCACCCGAAAAAGTACATGAAGAACTTTTTAGAGAGTGGCATGTTCCATTTAAAAAGCCATCATATCCAGCAGTGAAACGGTATAATCAGAATCGGACCCTTCTTCAAAAGCTACAGATGGAGGAGCGATTTAAAAAGAAGGAGAAATTACTCAGGAAGAAATTAGCTAAAAAAGGAATTGATTATGATTTTCCTTCACTGGTAAATATGCCTTCACAAAATGTTTTTTGTATTTTTTCTTGGGGGTGGGCTTTGTACCTCATTAGTTATAATGTGGGTTTTATACATCAAGTGTCCAGCCCGGTGTTTATCATGTGCTAGGCTTTACCTAAATTTTTGAAACATTGCATTGTAGGTTCTTTTTTTTCCCCCTAAAGATTTTATTTATTTATTTATTATTAGAGAGTGCACACAAGTTGTGGGGTAGAGGGGGAGAAGCAGATGCCCTGCTGAGTAGGGAGCCCGACATGGGACTCAATTTCAGGACCCCAAGATCATGACCTGAGCTGAAGGCAGATACTTAACCACCTGAGCTACCCAGGCACCCCTGCATTGTAGGTCCTTTTCTAAAAGTTTGTTACAGCAGATCCTATTATCTCCCATCATACAGAAGAGGAAACTCTTGAAAGGGATTAGCTCTGGGTGCCTGGGTGGCTCAGTTGGTTATCCAGCAACTGGAAGACTGAGTTACCCTCCCTGGACCCAGTTCCTGGTTGTTAATTTTTTACCCAAATCCCAAACACACTCTTTCTCAGTAGGTGTTAAAAGAACAGGGCCTGGTACCCATGGGAACCACGGGGGAGCTGGGACAGTGAAGCTTGAAAACAGGCATGCGAGAAATGCCTCTCCGGTAGCCCATTTGCTGCTTTGTCAAAAGCAGCCCTGCTTCATGATCTAATCCTGAATTTGGCCAGACCGGGGCCTGCCTTTTCACAGTCTTCCAGTTCACATTTCTGATTCAGCTTTCTGTGTGGCCAGCTCCAGGTTTTGGCCCCACTTCAACCTCTACAGCCTGTGGCCCTTCCTTAGTTGGAGGCCCCTCTTCCAGTTTTATCCTTAAGATCGTGAGTTTTGCTTTTTAAATTGAAATGCTGTGTCATTTGGGGACGATTTACTGCTAATATGTGCAAGGCTCTAGTGGTAAGTTAAAACTGTAAGTATGTGAGACTACCAGTTTATTTCTTTATGTTTATTTAAGATTTTACGTAAAAAGGAGAAAAGAAATGCTTCAAATACTGGGCTTCAGAAATCTACAAATAGCCAGGTAAAATTTTATTTATTTGTATCTATTTGTCGTATCACATGCCAGGTAGTAGGGAAAGATAAATGGGGAAATATATTCAGGACTACTATTGCTGATAAATATGCAGACTGATGAAGTCCCTTAAAATTTATTGAAGGTCTTATCAAAGAAAAAGAAGAAGAAAAAGGCTTCACGTGCTCCTACCACTCCTGAGAAGACTGTGGATAGCCAGGTAAAATTGTCTTCAATATTCTGGAAATGAGGTATTTTAGAAATGATTGAAAGAGGAAGAGCAGGGGCACCTGGCTGGCTTAGTCGGTGGAGTGTGCGACTCTTAATCTCAGGGTCATGAGTTTGAGCCCCATGTTGGATATAGAGCTTACTTTTAAAATAAATGAGTAAATAATTTTTTAAAAAGATTTTATTTATTTGAGAGAGAGAACACAAGTTGTGGGGAGGGGCAGAGGGAGAGGGAAAAGCAGACCCCCACACTGAGCAGGAAGCCTGATGTTGGGCTCGATCCCAGAACCCTGGGATCATGACCTGAGCTGAAGGCAGATGCTTAACTGAGCCACCCAGGCACTCCAATAAAGATTTTTTTAAAGAGGAAAAGCAGTTCGTGCTGCTGTCACTTTACTAAAATTTCAGATTTCACCTTGTGATTGTTTTGGTAAATCCTTACTGGTGATTTAGCAGATACAGTGAGGTTAGCAAAAGTTATTGTGAGTTTATTGCACTGTTTACCTTTCAGTGACTAAGTCAGTAGGGAGAAATGAAGCCACTATATTTATAAATGTAAGTCTAGTTTTCTATCTAATAGCCTATAATGGAGCATATTATGTGCAGCTGCATCACCAAAAAGGGTAAACAAGCCTAAAATAACACAGGGCAGCTTATAAAAATACAGGGCAGGTGGTATTGGGGGAGAGGAGAGTTAAACTCATTCCTGAAACCTACCTATATTTCTGTATTATAATCTTTTATTTGTTAAATCCAGGGCCCCACACCAGTTTGTACGCCAACATTTTTGGAGAAACGAAAATCTGAAGTGGCTAAAATGAACGTTGATGATCAAGATAAGGAAATAGTTTTCAAACAACCCGTACCTGGTGTAAAAGAAGAAACACAAGAGACTCAAACACCTACACGTTCGAGAAAAAAAAGACGAAGAAAAAGCAATCAGTGATTCTGAAAAATGTGATTTTAGTGTGAGGGCTAATTCTTTGTATGTAACTAGATGCAGTGGAGTACAACCATTGACAAGATTCTTGGAGGACAAACTCAGTTCAAGTCAGCACGGAAAGCGGTTGCAGCTGGCTTAGCTGCCCTTGCTGAGACGCGCAGGTGCCTCGCCTGCAGGAGTCAGGCGAACGCTACCTCTTTGTCCTGGTCTCTAGTTTTCTTTGCAGATGTTATAGCTGTCTTTAGTTACTCTGCCTGGATAGGAAAGTCACCATTTATTGCAGCTTTCGTTGTTACCATCAAATAAAATAAAATCTTGCTTGACTACCTACATGGTTTATTAGGTGTGCAACTTTAACCCATAAGGGCATTCAACATCGTGTGCTTGAAACTGGAAGTTATGTAATATGCAGAGAGAGAAGTATATGTGATCACTTTCACCATGTTAAGTTAGGTTTTGGTGAGCAAGATTTAATAACCGTCGTTTTGTGTCTGTATCATGGATGTGGAATTGTATTTCAAGAAATCAGTGACCAGCAAATAAACTTTTTCTGTAATTCATTCGTATGCAGGTGGGACTTAGATGTCTTTTTTTTTTTAAGTTTGTATTTAAATTCCAGTGTAGTTAACATACAGTGTTCTGTTAGTTTCAGGTGTACAATACAGTGATTCAGTATTTCCATACAGCACCTGGTGCTTATCACAAGTGCCCTCCTTAATCCCCATCACTTACTCCCATCACCTCGCCGCTTCCCCCTGGTAACCACTGGTTTGCCTCTTTTTTTTTTCTTTGCTCATTTGTTTCTTAAATTACATACATGAGTGAAATCATGTGGTATTTGTCTTTCTCTTGACCGACATTTCGCTTAGCATAATACTCCTCTCCATCCATGTTGTTGCAGATGGCCGGATTTTGTTCTTTTTTATGGCTCAGTAATATTCCATTGTAAGGACTTGGGTGTCTTGAAGTAAAATAGGTTTTTTTGCTTCTCAACTATTTTAAAGTTTCTAATACCCTTGAAATGTGTTTTCGTTTAGCTAATCCAGATTTATTAAAAATGCCCATTGCCATGGAACATTTTTTCCTCCAGTATTTGTTAAATCTTTAATAATGAGGTACTGGACTATGTGTCCTGATATAAAATGTAAATGAGAATTTGTTTCAAGTGTAGAAAGAGCATATTTTACCTCCAGAATGGTACCTGACCTAGAATATGTCCAGTATGGGGATGCCTGGGTGGCTCCGTCGGTTAAACATCTGTCTGCCTTCAGCTCATGTCAAGATCCCAGGGTTCTGGGATCAAGTCCGGTGTCGGGCTCCCGGCTCAGCAGGGAGCCTGCTTCTCCCTCTCCCTCTGCCTCTCTCCCTTGTGCATGCGCGTTCTCTCTGGCAAATAAAAAAAAATCTTTAAAAAAATATGCCCAGTATGTGTTTGTTGAGTGAATAACAACCTTTATTTTTTGAACCATTTCTCCACTTTGGATCTGGATGTCCCTCTAGTTTCCCCTTCTGGGAAAGCACCAGGGAAGTATGTCATTGCAGCTTCACGTTTCTCTCTCCAAAGGGCATATGCACTCAAACTCACATGTATACGTAGCAAGATGAGTTGAATATTTCCCTCTTCCCAGCCTGCTGCCAAATGTGTAAATTAGGTTTTAAATGTGCCCTGGAGCTGGGCAGGGAGTGGGGATGAATCCATCTTTAGCATATCATGGCCATGGGTATTTTTTGAAAGAAATAGAGCTGAAATTTTGTGGTTAAAAGTATCTTCCTGTGGACTAGGGTCTTCAAGAAAATTCAATGTGGTGTGATTGTGATTTTCAGATTTTGTAGTAAGAAAATCAGACGAATTGAGTGGAAAGTCTCTGCCAGTAAAATTATAAAATTTTGTAGTGATATGGAGCAAATAAGGTAAAAAGAGGGTACAATTCAAAACTACGATAAGTATGACCATGACTGTAAAAAATGCATTTTTTTTAATGGGAAGATAAATATTTGAGTATGTGGAAGCAAAAGTATGTGTTGCTGTTATATGTAATCAGCAAAGAACTAAAGGAAAAAAGGAATGAATCCACAGACAAGGTTCCATTAGAGTCTGACCTTTCAGATTGCATATTTGCCATAGAAAGGGAGCAAGTGGACAAACCAGTGTGAAATGAGGTTTTCTGTTGCCGGCAGTATTTGGAATAGACTGCGACCATGTCCAAGGCAACTGGTCACCGTGGCTGGAAACTGGAACCCTGGCTGCTGAGTGGCACGAGCTGGAAATCCAGATCGGCTGTGCTCATAGGAATTACAAACCCTCGCGGTCCTGCCACAAAGGCCATCTCTTGTTCCCGCGCTGACCCAGGCTGGGTGACCCAGAGCATTAGTCCCCCATGCAGTGACTGATGCAGGCGGCTGTTATCCTTTAACCCAGAAGTGAGTGTGTGTAGTTTTGATATATGATGTTTTTTTCCACTACGTAGGCAGAAATAGTCCCAGGGCCCAAACCGAACTGGGGCATCCTCTGGACCACGGGGTGGCTCACTGTCCTGCGGGCCAAGTCCGCTCTGCCTGTTGTGATTTTAACATGCTGAAATGTTTGAAAAATCAAAATTCATAGCAAATGAGAATTCTATGAAATGCAAAGCTTAGTGTTCCCACATACAGGTTTCTTGGGGCACAGTCACATTTATGTGCTGCAGGAGTTTAGCACGATGGAGACCATCTGCGGTCCTCTGCTCAGCACGGCCCAGGACTGCCACAAACCAAACCGCAGTGACGCAGTCTCAGCTCGACGTACTTGGAGTGCCGCGTGCTTTTGGGCTGCCTCGAACTTTATGTGTTTTTTGTTTTGTTTTGTTTTTTGTTTTTTAAAGATTTTATTTATTTATTTGAGAGAGAGAGAATGAGAGACAGAGAGCACGAGAGGGAGGAGGGTCAGAGGGAGAAGCAGACCCCCCGCCGAGCAGGGAGCCCGATGCGGGACTCGATCCAGGGACTCCAGGATCATGACCTGAGCCGAAGGCAGTCGCTTAACCAACTGAGCCACCCAGGCGCCCCGAACTTTATGTGTTTTTATCACCAGTTCGTACCCATCGTGTCAAAACAAGAAATGTGGACTCCTGTCATACTTCGGCTCACGGTGGAGCGCAGATTATTTTATCAAATGAGACAGCGCAGCATTGCGCCCCTTTTGCAGTGATGCTCCAGCTGTGCTTTTTTCTCTCACCACCCTTCCTTCCTCCCAGCTGCCGCAGCCGTGAAGGTCAAGCTGTGCGGTGCCAGTGGGAACAGGATACAGCCCGCATGTGGGAGGCACTAGGCCAGGACCAACCAGGAAGGTTTTCCAATTTCTTCTTTTTTTTTATAAGATTTTATTTATTTGACAGAGAGAGACACAGCGAGGGAGGGAACACAAGCAGGGGGAGCAGGAGAGGGAGAAGCAGGCTTCCCGCTGAGCAGGGAGCCCGATGCGGGGCTCGATCCCAGGACCCTGGGATCATGACCGGAACCGAAGGCAGACGCTTAACGACTGAGCCACCCAGGAGCCCCAGTTTTCCAATTTCTTAACGCAAAATACAAGTCAAAGAGAGTATTTAAAAATGAACTTTTTTTGAAAAATGAAATAGAATCTCATTCCAGATCAACGTTAACAAATGAACATTTGCAAAAAAATGACCTTGATGATAGGAAACACTGATTTCACACTTCCTGCAAAAATTCAAAATGGAGCATAATCCTAAATGTACAACATAAAACTAAATAATTTTTAGAAAACATAGGACAAAAGGTTTATGACCTGGCGTAGGCACGGGGTTCTTAGACATGACACCAGAAGCATGCTCCATAAAAGAAAAAAACTGAGGGCGCCTGGGTGGCTCAGATGGTTAAGCGTCTGCCTTCGGCTCAGGTTATGATCTCAGGATTCTGGGACCGAGTCCCAGTGCAGAGCCTGCTTCTCCCTCTCCCTCTCCCTCTGCCACTCCCTCTGCTTGTGCTCTTCTATCTCTCTGTCAAATAAAAAATAAAATCTTTAAAAAAAAAAAAGGAAAAAAAACCTGATAAATTGGACTTGATCAAAATTTGGAATTTACTCTTTAGTTAAATTACTGTTAAGAAAATGAGGGTTGGGCGCCTGGGTGGCTCAGTCGTTAAGCGTCTGCCTTTGGCTCAGGTCATGATCCCAGGGTCCTGGGATCGAATCCCACATCGGGCTCTCTGCTCAGCGGGAAGCCTGCTTCTCCCTCTCCTGCTCCCCCTGCTTGTGTTCCCTCTCTCACTGTCTCTCTCTCTGTCAAGTAAATAAATAAAATCTTAAAAAAAAAAAAGAAAGAAAGAAAAGAAAATGAGAGGGCGCCTGGGTGGCTCAGTCGGTTAAGCGTCTGCCTTCGGTTCGGGTCATGATCCAGGGGTCCTGGGATCGAGTCCCTGTGTCTGGCTCCCTGTTCAGCACGGAGCCTGCTTCTCCCTCTCCCTCTGCCCCTCAAATAAATTTTAAAAATCTTAAAAAAAAAAAAAAAAAGAATGAGAAGACAAGGTACAGACTGGGCGAAAATATTTTCGAAAAACTTTTTATCCAAAATAGACCTGTCAAAAAAATCAGCTCAAATTGTCCTAGGCAACCCAACTTCTGTCTTTCTGACCATAAAATGGAAACTATAATATGGACTCTTTTCAACATAATGTGAGGTATGTGACAATACTTAATATTTCCTCAATATTTCCATGTGTCAGATATCGTGGTAAGCCTTTTAAATATATTAGCCTATTTAATCAGAAAAAAACCTAGGAAGCAGATATTTCTTTTCAGTCTAAAAGAGGAGAAAATGAAAGCCCAGAGTGTACATAGCTTGTCCAAAGATTGTATATGGTGAGCCGATTAACAAGGCGGACTCAAGCCCTTCACGTTCCCCTCGCACAAGCTGAGCACGAATGCTACATTATGAGTGGCAGGGGATACATGGAGAGGGGCGAACACGACAAGGCCTGCTGACTTTTTGAAGGGGAGGCAGAAATGGGGCACTGGGGCCGTCGCGGGAGGAGGCAAATCGGGGGTCTGTTCTTCTGTGGCCAGCTTTAAAGTGACAGCAACGACGGGCGCCTGGGTGGCTCAGTCATGAAGCGTCTGCCTTCGGCTCAGGTCATGGTCCCAGGGTCCTGGGATCGAGCCCCGCATCAGGCTCCCTGCTCCGCGGGAAGCCTGCTTCTCCCTCTCCCCTCTCCCACTTCCCCTTCTTGTGTTCCCTTTCTTGCTGTCTCTCCCCGTCAAATAAATAAATAAAATCTTAAAAAAAAAAAAAAATTAAAGTAAAAGCCACAAAACGCTAGGTGGCGATAGATCTCAGACACTTAAAATCTACAGTCAACTTTCATGTAAAGCGACTGACAAGAATGCAAGATTATTAAAGGGATTTTTAAAAAGATTTTATTTATTTATTTGAGAGAGAGAAAGAGAGCCCAGTGAGAGAGAAAGCACAAGAGGGGGCGAAGGTGGGGCAGAGGGAGAGGGAGAAGCAGGCTCCCCACTGAGCAAGGAGCCCGATGTGGGGCTCGATCCCAGGACTCTGGGATCATGACCTGA